AACTCATAAGTAAAATAGACTTCCTGTTCCATTCTAAAGATGCACTAAAATTACCTGCTTGTGGTAAGCATGGTAGCTGGGCAGTTCATTGATTTTTCAGAAGAATGCTTGGCTTTGGGCTTTTAGCAGTAGGGAACCTGTAATAAATTATTGAGGAAAAAGAGTTATTTTAAACCTATTTGAATTGATGCTGTCTCTTTTTCCCCCCACATGATAAAAGGTCTCTCTCTTTTTTTTTTCCTCCAGATTTGCAGCTAAAACTGTGCACAGTGGGTCATTGATGCTAGTCACAGTGGAACTGAAGGAAGGCTCTACAGCACAGCTTATCATAAACACTGAGAAAACTGTGATTGGTTCTGTTCTGCTGCGGGAGCTGAAGCCTGTCCTGTCCCAGGGGTAACCTGCTTACATCTGGACTTCAGAACCTGGCACACAACAAAAGTGCCTGGCATCCACTGCTGCTGCCTTTCATTTATAATAATAGCCCTTCCATCTGGCAGTGGGGGAAGAATACACTCTTGACATTCTTGTCTCCTGCTTTAGAATGCTAGTGTGTATCTATCACGTATGCAATACTTTCCCCCTTTTCACTTTGCTAACCAAAGAACATATATTTTACTGTCAGTTATCTCAACACATGAATCTGTGCAGCATTTTCTCTATCCTGCCACTTCTTCTCTCCTCGTCTTCCTTTCCTTTTTCAACAATGATGGACGTAAATTCGATATTTCAAGTTCATTGGAAATCCTCTTCCTCCCACAGCAAGCAAAAATTAGCCTAGAAATAGCCTAAATGACCTCTCAGCTTGGAATGTAAAAATGGGATCGCATACTTTTTAGCATTAAATTGCCAAAACAACACGGTCTCTGCAAAATTTTGTTCTGTGAATTTCCTGGTATTGTAATTGGCTGTTGACAATAGTCATCATGAAATTACCTCTGAATAATAAGATGAATAAACTAGCACATGAAAAACACTTGTCTTTGCATTTTTAATGAGAAATTGTTTGTAATCCTGAAGTTCATATGCTGAGGTTTCTTTATTGTAAAGTAAGTATTTTGAGTATTATAGTATGCAGAGAAGCAATGGGGTTTAGCGAAAGAGAAACCACTTTCAGACCAGGTAGATTTTCTAATTGTGTTATAGAGTAGTTAACTCCAAGAAAAAAATTGGTGTGTTTAATAACACAAACAAAAGTCTTTGTGTTGCAAAATAAAATGTTTTTACCTGCAATTTTGATCCATTAGTAGAGATCTCATTACAAGGCCTATTACACCTGCTGAATAAATTCTTTGAATCTCAGTGTTCCTTTATAAATCTTGATGGCCAACTTTGATGGACTTAAATCCTTTTGAAAACTAACTAGGATAAACTTAGAAATCTTAAAACTAGTGTTATGATCAACATATTAGCATCATTCCCCAGAGTGCTTACTTTATTTACGAACTTAGGCAAATTACTATTTTTATTATGATTGTTCTTTAATCAGAAAACTTCTTTTCTAATGTTTTTATACATTTTTCAAGCCAGTTGAAATTTTATTTACCTTCTGACACATAATATGTAATGGGCTTTAAGACAGAATATGCTAGTCCGTTCCCTTTGTATAGAGAGCCACATGATTTATAAAAAGGAGAAAGGAAGAGAAGATGCATTGATTAAAACATTGTAGATCACATATAAAGGGTAAAAAAAACAATGAAACATTCTTGGAATATACATATCGAGAAGAACAAAACAGACTATGGAAAAATTATTTAGATTTTCACCCTAGTGAGGTGGAGAGCAAACAAGGTTGTTAAATTTTCTTGCTCCTGAAATACAGCAATGAATCTGAGTGAAGGGAAGTATTGCGATGGAAGTCACGTGTTCTACCTCCGGAGCCTTATATGGTATGATAATACTGACACGACACCAAGAAGCTCTTTAATGGAAACCCATTGACATTTCCATTATTAACTTTATTTCTCAGAGCTTCATAACTCTGGATTTTTAAGTCAACAACTTTTTGAGACGTAATTTGGCAGGCTAAATACCTGTTTTCTGAGAAACATTTGTACTTATTGTCATCAAGCAGAGGGAAAAATACATATTGTGATACAGAGAGATTTTTATTTCTCTTCAATGAGGCCATGCATCTTTAAAATAAGTCAGGCATTTGCATGTTTTTTAAAACAAGGAAATTTCAATAGGACTTGACTTTTACATAATATTTTTGAAAGCTAACTTTTAAAATCAATATTATATAGTAATATATGCAGTATGCTAACAATTGAAACCATTTTAATATCTATAGCTTAATATCATTTAAATATTTTTCACATAAGTGAAATTAGAAAACTGACCAAGTTTCAGTTTGGGTTGTTTTTTGTTGTTGTTTTTGTACAATGATTCAAAGTTCCTTGCTTCATATTTCCTTTAACTTTATCATAATCCATGATTATATTTAAATTATTCCATTGAGTCGAGTTAGTCAATGTTCAATTCTTAATTCTAGCTATATTTTTTCATTTTAATGTCTATTTAATGGGACGTTTTATGTACACCAATCTTGAAGAATGGGTCTCAGTATATTTCAAACTGAGACTCATTTTTAATATCAATACACTTTATTATAAGAAAAGGAGAATTTTTTTTTCTGAAGAGACTATAACAATGAACATATCAAATTAAAATACAGGATACTTGCCCTTCCCAATAATATTTGCAAACATTTGAAGAACTTTATAATAGCTTATGAAAAAGTTTACCCTTGTAACCTGTATTTCTGTTGTTAAGAATTTAGAAGTTACTATTAGAGAAGACAAGAATCCAGAATGATGAATAACATAAGGAGAGGTTTAAAAAAAAATGTTGGACCAGCTAAAGGTAAACCTAAGCTCTTTCACCTTTTTTGTTTCCTCTCTGTAATCTCTCTGATTTTACAGGGAAGTTGGTTTAAAGGCGAAAAATTCTCTTTTCACATGGGTGGGGGGCGGGGAGCCCCATGCTATAACAAAAAATTAACAGAGCCTTACTTTTCCTTTCTATTTAAAAACTGCATCTACTGTGGAATGTGAAGAACTTGGATAACCCTTGTCGGGGAGTATAGTTAAATAGAAGATATGCTCTAATTCCCCCAAGAAACCCACAGTCCAATTGTCAATAAACACATGGTAATGTGGAGTTTGCTAAGTTAGTGATCCCTGGTTTGCAAACAAACTTTGCTTACGTACTAATACAGGTTCACCTCCTCCACCAACCCCACTCGCTTCAGGTGCCAAGTCCAACAGCTTTAAACAGTCGGCCTCCAGAGCCTTGCTGAACCCATCTGTTCACCTCTACCTCTGCTGTCCTCACACAGGTGACTGGACCAGAATAGCCAGCCACTGGGTGCACACTTTGTTTGTTCTTCCATCAATTGAAGGTTGGTTCATTGATAGACAATTACTTTCTGATCACATACGTACTTGCTTATTTTTTTAATCTTTGTCCTTCCTTTCTGCCTTCCAACTTGACCAGTTACCTCAGGAAGTTTTCATAATCACTTTCACTCTCTTCTTGAGATTTTTAGAGGAACAACAACAACAACAAAAAAATCAAGTGCATGATAGTGTTGCAGCCTCAGATGAATGGAAGTTGTGTTTAATAGAAAAGTATATCCTTAGATGGACTAGAAGATTCTTTCTGACTGCATAGTCATCCATCTCCTGTCTTTGTGTGACTTCCTGACAAACAGCATGTAATACAACTAAATGAATGTTTTACTCTTCCTATTTTGGTAACATTACTTTTTTTTTTTTTTACCACTTTTCAATTGTGTTACGGAATAAGCAGAATTTCAAGATCTAACCTAGTAAGTTAACCAACGTGTGTAATTGTTCTTTGAGGAAAAACATTTTAGATTCCACATGACCAGCAAACTTGAACATAGCCATTTGAAAGCTGAAATGGTTTCTGAGAAACGCTGTGAAGCAGTTGCTTGATTAATTGTCAGATCACACCAGTGAGAGCTATGGAGTTTAGGGGAAGAAGTGATCATTGGGTTCGAGAATTCTGAGAAGGTTTAACAGAGGCAGTGAAGCTAGGTACGTATCAAAAGTAGGGTGGCATTTGGAAGAGAAAAGACAGTTTCCAGGCGTAGGAGAAGGAAGAGTATGTTGTTCTTAACTGAGACTGTATCTTAAAATGTGTTTAAAATACCTTTGTGGAGAAAGCAACATGGCCTACACACCAAAAAGTGATGTGTCCCCTTCCTCTCCTTGCCCTTACTCCTCCTCTTTACCCTCTCACTCAGTCTCTCTCTCCCCTGAATCCATTCCCCAAGCCTCCACCTCAAGGGTCTGTGGTAGTTTAGAGGAGAAACGAATGGTTGAGGTATGATAGATGGGGCTATGCTGCACTTGTAAACAATGTAGAGGGGAAAAAACAAAAAAACAATATTGGGAACCATTGAACTAGAGATCAGGAGAAACAGGCATTGTTGGTTTTACTCTCCTGCTTATAAGCCAATTTTAGATATTTCCTTGAGGATTTTAGTTATTTTCTATGTCATCGCAGGTTGTAAAACATAGCCCAAGTAGCTAAAGAATATGAAATTCATTGGTGTCTAGTTACTGATTAAGTGATTGTGAGTTGAAGTGATGCTGAAATTTCTAATCTTCTCATGTCTGTCTCTGGAGCCAGGTTTACGTACATCGTCACTTGCACGTGGAATTCCTAGCTGGTTCAGTAATTATGTACACTGAAGACCCCAAGCCCTGGACTCAAATACGGAATTATTACAGTGGACTCAAACCTGCCTTTAATGACATTCTAAGACACTGGTTTCTCATCTACAATCTTGAGGGCCAGAGACACAAAAGGTCAGGCTTAAATGTAGACGAATCTGTATTCTGAGATCTAAGGATGTTCAGGGAACCTAATCAGTAGGTAAGTCTGCCAGTGGGCTCGTTCATGTCAGCCCTTGAAGACTGCAGATGCTACAAGGGCACTTGGAGAGAACAGGGAAGCCTCACCTTGTCCACCCTTTCCATTAACTGGCTGGGGAGAAAGGGGCTGCCAAAAGGAAAGTATCAGAATGTGGGAAGGAAGGAAGGAAGAAAGATGAACTCTCTCAAATTGTACCCCAACCAAGGTTCTGATTTTACCCCCAAAAGAGCATCTTCTCACCCCATGTAAGAGCCACTTTGTTTTAAAGCAACGTGATGAATGAGGACTCTTGTTTTATGGTACGATAACAGTAAGGAATTGTTAAGACCATGGCCTACAAAAAGAAAAGTATCAAATTCTACCTTTGCAAAATAGTTCGGAAAGGTTATATGACGGTGGGCTCCTCAGCCTAAATTTAAACTCTCATTTCTGATGAGTCCCTTTATTTTACGAGGTGTGATCAAACAGTATGGTGCATGTTTAAATTTTTAAAATTTATTACAGTAAAAGACACATTACCATTAATTCCCCCTCAAAATATTACCCCTCGCTTCAAACACACTTATCCCATCGTTCTCAACAACTTCTGAAGCAGTTTGGAAGTCCTCTTTTGTGAGTATCTTTAGTTGTGCTGTTGTGGCTGTCTTGATGTCCTGAATCATTTTGACTCGGGGAAGAGCCAGGAGTTGCACAGTACCAGATCCAGTTAATAAGGTGGATGAGGACACACTGTAGTGTTTTCATTTGACAGAAATTGCTGTATACCAGAAGTGATATGTGACACACAGTGTTGTCGTGATGGAGGATGATTCACAGCACCCTTTAAAACACACCTTCTCTCAACCGTAGCTCACACCTGACTGACCGCACAGAACAAGTTGAAATTTGTCACACACTCAGGTTCAATGGGCCGCTTCCCATATGGAAGACGCCTGCCTTTCCATTGGATGGCACTCGGCAGCAGCATTCACTGTATTTGTTGATCACAATGGAAAGGCTCTGTGTCACACATCGCTTCTGGTATGGCAATTTCTCTCAAAACGTTACGGTGTGTCCTCATCCACC